TGATATTAGCTATCATATACCAACAACAGTGTTTAAGTTGATATAAGCTATCATATAATAACTAAGGGTATTAGTTAGCTTCTCCTTTTTACAATTACAAAATTGAAACTTAATCATTTTTCTTTATTTAAAAACATCATGTCACAAACACTCTTCCTAAAAATGATGATTTTTAGCATATGAGAAATATTTCAACAATCTTTTATGATGTACATACAAGTAAAAGCACCTCCATCCTCAAAAGAAACAAGGCTGGCATGTAAGAACCACTAACTCTACTATAATAATTATTTGCCAATTAGTTAGTCTACAGATGATCTTTGACTGACAAAAATATTATTATTGTGTGTGTATGACATTCAAGTTAGATTGTAGCTGTATAAAAAAGTATCCACAAATAATCAGAAAAATGTCTTGATCCTTCTTAAGTAGGTAATGACTTGAAGAAGGATTAATTCTAACTTAAATCTATTTTTCTTTTGTCTGAAATAGCCTTCAAGATTTTCACTTACAGATATGAACATTTAAGTATAATCCAGATTTTAAATATTTATAAGCTTAAGAAAGAAAACTCAAACTACAGTGGTGCAAATATCATCAACTGTACTTCTGAGTTTGAACTTTAAAAATTATCCAAATATTAAAAATTATTTAAAAACATATACATGAAACTGCTTATTCTACAACGAAAATACCTATAAACTAATGAACTGGTAATGTATTAATTTATCAAAACAAAACAAATTCTAGTTTAAGTCATTTTGCTGAACTTTTCATTAAAATTAATAATATTTGTGACACTTATTAATGTAACTAGTCAGTCTGTTAACTGATGTTTGATTGCATCATTCAAGTACCTTCAAGTTTGGCATTCCAATTGTATCACATACATCTTTGGTTAAAATTAAAACTTCTTATACACGTAAATAAATCATTACAATGTGATGCAAGACTTCTGGTACATGTGAAATAAATCATTACAATGTGCTGCAAGACTTCTGGTACATGTGAAATAAATCATTACAATGTGCTGCAAGACTTCCAGTACATGTAAAACCAATTATTACCCATGTGCTGCAAGACTTCTGGTACATGTGAAATAAATCATTTCCATGTGCTGCAAAACTTCTGGTGCATGTGAAATAAATCATTACCACTACTCCAACCAAGGATACAGGTACAGAATATATATTGACCTTTAACACACTACTGAATAACTCTATCACAGATAACCTTAGTCCAAGTTGAGGATACAGCCCTAGAGTATATACCTACCTCTAACACACTACTAAATAACCCAATCACATACAGCCACTGCCTAAGTTGAGAATACACGCTCAGAATATTTACCGAAATCTCCCACACTACATAATAACCACACACAACGACTGCCAATGTTGAGGATACATGCTCAGAATATATACCGACCTCTAACACACTACTAAATAACCCAACCACGCACATAGCCACTGCCGAAGTTGAGGATACAGATTCAGAATGTATATCATCCTCTAACACACTACGGAAAAACCCAACCACAAACATAGCCTCTGTCCAAGTCAAGAATACTGAGTTAGAATATATTGGTGTCTCCAACAAACTCAACCACATGTAGTTTAGTCAAAAATACTAAGTTACAATACATACTTACCTCCAATGCACTCTTGCATATCCCAACCACACATAGCCACTGCCTAAGTCGAGGATACTGAGTTAGTTGCTGAATGGTTCCAGCATCAACACATTTGCGTTTTGCTACTAACTGCTTACTAAAGAGCTTGAGAAGCTTGCTCTGGAAAAGATAAAGTATATTTGTCAACTCTTTTCTTATACTATTTTATTTTATCTGAAATGAACAATGAAAATTTGATTAACAGCAATAAAGGTTTGTAACAAATATAAACTTATCATAACTTTAAATTGCCTTTTTTAAGTTAGAATACATATTTATTCCACCATTCATACTGAAATATCAAACCACAGCAGATGTTTTATGCCAATCAGAATTCTCATAAAAACTAACAGAGTTTTTAGTTTTAGAAACTGCACTTATTAAAATTTTTCATGTTTTAAATTTGATTAAAGGAGGTACAAGGAAATGATCTTTGTAGAAATTATCCCTTTGAAAGGACTACTTCTGAACGTCAGAAAATAATTAAAAAACAATTCATATTTTAACATTAGTTGGGACATATGAATATAAATTTATGAAAAAAATTACACAAGCTTAAATCTAGCTGAGGAAATGATTTTGATGTTAAAAAAACAAAAGTTGTACAACAATCTAATGAGAGTCTTTAATGTAACATAGTCTAGAAGATATGATTAAAAGCTAAGTAATTTTTTGTTCACCATTCAAATTATGGGTTTAGCATCATTTAGAATAAAATCAGGAGTAATCAGCTGTATCCAATCCAAAAAACAATGTATAGTCTCTAAGGAATTGCACCCAGTGTCTTAAGAAAATTTAACATTTTCCTAAATTGAAAAAGAATTTCCAATAATATTTACCTCTGCTGACACTTATAGCTATTACTCAACTCCAAGGGTTTCTTCTTTACTCATCTAAGCATTTGTATGATTTTTTCTCACTTGCTCCAATTCTTTTATATCCCCACTCAATTGCCCACAGCGATATTTGTCTCAAGACACTCTCCACCTATGTTAATGCACCCCTCTACCCTGGTAGTATATAAGCACCTCATTCAGATAATGTTATCACTTTGTCAAGACTGATACCATCCCAGTCTCTAATACCAGCTTTTAGCACTTGGGGAGGAAGGGTGGGAGAGTGTCAGTGGAGGCAATTATTATTGGAAATACATTTTGAATTTAGGAAAATATTAACTTCCAAAACATACCTATCTTCGCTACCACTTAAAGCTAGAATCAAACATTGAGTAAATGGAGGGGCTGATGAGGGCATTATCCATACAGAAAGCATCTGCAGAGATCATGGGTGTACCAAGATAAGAGTGGTACCTGAGTGGGGAAACCGCATTACATGCAGAACAAGTATGCTCTTCACCTTGAACTTAGTTCCTATATCAAGGATGGAATTGTTCATGAGTGATCATCACTATAGGCCAGCCCCAACCAGATAGCCAAGGTTCCACTACTCGGGGTTGGAATTAAGGAGTCATGTTCCCTATATCACACATTGGTGGCTAGGGCAATCGGACCTATATATGTGAACTACAAACTGTTTTAGAACCTCCGAAATTTGAGGAGCAGATATTATTTAAGAATCAGAAAAATGCTTTTACCTGGTGGTGATAGGTGAAATCACGAAGTTACAAAAATGTTTTGGATAAGGCCTAACTGTCCCTTCACATAGCTAAGAAATAAACCTTTCAGCATGAACCACAATTTAGGTGTACAGAGATAAAAAAAAAAATTTGCTCCCACACCTTTCAGCCACAATTAAGTTGCAGGCTCAAAAGCACCCAGGAAAAAGCCCAAAACATCACACACTCAAAGAACCAACAAAAGAGAACAAATCAAAAGCAGCTTATCCCAAAGTGGCCTCCTTTTCATTTTTCACAGGTCATTTAAAGACTGTGGTCAAGTAAGTTGTTTTGTTAGAGCAAAGCAACTGCAGCCCATCAACCGAGTCCACCCTAGGGAATCACACCCAAGACCCTTGTGCTATGAGTCCGTAAACTTACCACTGACCCACAGAGAGGCTGAAAAATCCAACAGACTAAAAGAAAAAAGGAAAGCACAGGAAAAAGCAAATTTAAAGTCTCTCCAAAATGTAGAGGATTGCCCTCAAATGCAGCCTCAGAGCCCCGCAAGAGGACTACCACAGATCCGAATATATGTCTCCATCTCACTATGAATAACATCACCAACAGTCTCAACCGAGAGTGACCTCCCCACATGATTATTGTGAGATGCTAGATATCAGAGGTGGGAGAAGAGAGACCCAACTGACTTCTGTGCCATAAATAATGTTAATCCAGGAATTCATTCCAAAACCAGCTTGCCAATTATTATTATTGTTATAAAATCAACTATATAACACAGTAACATTCAGAGTATCTCCAAATGATTGTAATACTAAGAAACCCATGATCTATGCAGACACTTTCTGTATGGATAATTCCCTCATCTGCCCCTCCATCTTCTCAATGTGGGATTCTAACTATAAGTGGCAACAGAGGTAGGAATGTTTTGGAAGTTAACATTTTCCTAAATTGAAAATGTATTTCCAATAATACTTACCTCTTCTGACACTCTTCCAACCTTCCTCCTCATTAAAAGTCATTGTTAGTGACTGGGATGGTATCAGTCTTGACAAAGTGATAAAAATATCTGAATGAGGTAGTTATATACAGTACCAGGATAGAGGGTGCACTGGCGTAGGTGGAGAGTACCACAAGATGATTATTGCCAAGGGCAATTGAGTGGGGTATGGAAAAACTGGAGCAAGCGAAAAAAAAATCAGATTTATGCTCAGATGGGCAAAGAAGAAACCCTGGTGATCGAGTAATAGTTATAAGTGTCAGCGGAGGCAAGTATGTTTTGGAACTACTGAACATTACTCTTAGCCAGCAAAGAACCCTTTTAAATGGTTATCCTTTAACATATGTCCAAGTTGTATGTTTTTCAATCTGAAGGTATAACTCAAGTGAATACCATTATAGTATCAACTCACATGACACTTAAGGTTAATGAACTCATCCCCTCACATTGCTAATTTACCAATAGTTAAAACAAGCAATATTTTTCAAACTCTAAAGTATAATATTTGTAAATTATATACTAACACATGTAAAGGCAGAAATTATTTGATTAAAATAAAAACAAACTTGTCTAGGAGGTCTTTCACAGGCCTCTTTTGGGACCTTTATTATTTACCTATATCATGGGATTGGATACAGCCTTGAGAAATGTTTCCAAAGGATATGAAGATTCTATGTGCAGCTAACTCTGTGAAAAATGTTTCGTTTACTAAGAAAAAACCTAGAGAGTGAACATAAAATAAGCTTTAACCCTGAGGTGTTTGCCAAAAATATTAAAGACCAACCTTTTTCCAACTAAAGACAAGTTATTTCTGACCTCAAAATTTCATGGACCACTTCATTTTAAGTACTTTTAAAATAGATTGTAAAACAATATACACTGAGTGGTCACAAGTAAATAAACATCTAA